ATGAAGGGATTCAGCAGCCCGAAGTGGGATACCTCACCGTAGACGTTTCTTATTGGCAGCTCTGGCACCCACCCATCCTGCCACATCACTGAGCGCAAGCACGCGCTCGATGCCCTCGGTGATATCGTCGCGGAATTCGCACGTTGGGCTGACACTCGAGAGGTTTTTGATGGCCGAGCATGAAGATTACGACGCCCTTCCTCTCTTTCCTCGCGGTTCCTCGGGGGCGGAGATGGGCGGGCAAACCAAGTCCCCCTCTAGGAGCTACCAGAGGAGGCCGTAGCGCCCAACACTAGAGCTTGCTCCTGAGGTCTTCCCTCTGGGCTGCCGCCCGCTCCGCCTAAGTGCCCCTCGGTCTTTGTTTGTGCTGCTTGCAGGCTCCCGCGCGCAAGTTACAGTTTGGCTCTCGCCAGTACAGTGGCTGGTCCGTGGGGGTCTGGAAGACCACCGCCCCGCTGGCGACTGCGGCCATGTTAGCCCCCAAAGCTGCTAGATTGCGTGGGCGCGGGCGCACGTCCGATTCCTCCGTTCCTAATGTGGCGGCGTGGGGCGAGTGGCGGGCCATCGATCAGATCGCGGCTGCTTTTGGCTTGTCTGCAGAAGATCTGGCTGCAGCTACCTCGGATAAGACCGAGGAGGCCACTTATGCGTTATGCCTTCAGAACGTCAGAGGAAGACCAACCATAACGCGTTGTGGTTGTCCCCTTCTGTTCTCAGAGGTAGGCCTACTATATGTAGCGTATTTTCTTGAGCCCTTGGATTGCCTCTGGCGCCTCGGGCTGCGCGATGATCTCCCAAGCGGCACGGCGAGATCGCCCGAGCAGCACGGCGGATCGGGCGCCCCAGCGAGGCACGGCGGAGGGGGCGCGCGGCACGCCGGCTCTGCTGGGGCGGGGGGCGGGGGGGCAGGCGGAGGAACTCCCGAGCCCCCGACGACGTGACTCGCGCCATCCCGGCGTTTCTCCCCGACTTCGGCGGAATGCGGGGGCGGCAAAGAGGGGGGCGATGACCAAGGGGGGATATAGCATGGCGTGGGCCATGATATTCCCCCAGATCTCTCGGCACTGCTTCTCGTTTCAAAACGTCCCTGGCCCCCCCTGTGGGCCGCGCGCGCGCCGCTGGCCATGATTTACGCCTCCCCTCTTGGACGCCCCCCTCTTGGCTGCTCCCGAGGGGCGGCCAGCGTCGGGCAGAGTGCCACATCTTCCAAATTCTGGGCGGACCTCGAGAGCGACTTCTTGAAATTCACATGCCTGTGACCGGGCTCCGGCCCGCCCGCGCCGCCCCTAAGGTGCCTGCCGGCCCGCCGGCCGGCGGACTCGCGCGCCTGCGTTTGCGTCTGCGTCTCTTGGCCACCCCTGACTTTTAAGGTCCGCCATCGGGCCCCAGAGAACATCTGAAATGGATCCAAGCCCAGACATGCGATGCCCTGGTGTTTTCCATGCACGGTTCTTGGAAGTCCCGACCCCTTCCCCAGGACCAGACTCCAATCGCGAATCGTTCCTGGGCGGTCCTGAGCCGCGCGAGGGCCCCCGGGGTCCGAAAACGGAATGAAAGATCCGTGCTGGTTTTCCCAACCGTCCTGTGGTTTGGGGCCCTCGCTGTGAGGAGACAGCGTCCCACGGCACCTTGCTCCTCGCCCCCCCTCCCTCTTTCATCCTTGCTCTCCGCATGTTCCTGTTTCGGCACACCCTTCACACGCGTCGTGGCCCCGCAGGGAGCTCCACCGACGGCCCCAGCGGCAGGGTCCGCATGGCGCACCCGCACCCGATGCTGTACACCCCTCACGAACTTCGTGGTCCAATGTATGGCCCCACCGAAGGCCCCAGCGGCGGAGTCCGTTGGGTACACCGGCATTCGATTCGGCACACCCCGCAAACGCTCCGGGACGCGCGCCAGTCGCCCCGAAGGAGTTCGAGCGACGCGCGCAGGGTGTCCGCGGCGCGGGGTCCGAAACATTGGGCGGCTGACGAGGGGCGAGGCGCCAGGCAGAGCGCGCGGGTGTCGAGCAGCACTCCGGGGGCAGAGCGCAGGGGAGTCCCCGCGAAGCGCTCCGCGTGCCCCGAGAGGATCCCAGCGACGCGCAGTGACGCGCGCGGGTCGTCCGCGGCGCGAGGCCATACAGTTGGGCAGCGGAGAGAAGCGAGACTCGCGCGGGCCGTTCTTCAGGTCAGGCCTCGCGGATAAACCCAGCGAGGCCCAGCCACTTGGCGCCTTAAGAAGGCCTTCCGCCCGCCCGTGTCCGCCTTTCTCTCCACCCACGCCTCAATCCTCTTGCCAGGCCCGCTCCTCTCTTTTCACCTGCCTCGCGATGCTCGCAGCTGCATATGGTTGGGTCCTTAGCCAGGCGATTTTTTCACGACGCGAGCATGTCTAAAGGACAAACAATCATCTCTTGGAAGCGGTCGGGAGTTTCTTGGGGCCACGGATTGAAACTTCAGAAAACCATACCGGTGGAAGCCTAGGTTGACGGTTCCCAGATGGGGTCCAAGCTGATGGGGTCGGAGGATCGCGCCGAATTGCTGACGCATCGGCGATGCGGTTCGATGTGGAGCCTAATTTTTTCCACGCCGGCGTCGCCGATGCAACGTCGACGTTTTCCGCGCATCGCCGTTGCATTGGCGATGCGGCGCGATCTTCCCCCGCACCGTCTGAGAAGTCTTCCGCGTTTTCGGGGAAGGTTTCGAGGATGTTGCAGAAGACCAGTGGGCACCCGATTTGTTTGAAAAGGTCCCCTCCTTCTCACGGGATTGGAAGTCAAAGTCGACCTGCTTCCTGAAGACCTATATATGGGGCATATGCCAAATATGTTGTTACCTAACAGCGAAGACTGATAGGTTTCTAATGGGGTCAAAAGAGAGCATCTGATGACTCCCCAGGGGGGTCTGGTCGGGAGCCGGACAGGCGAGGGCCGGGCTCGTTTTAAGCAAACAGTCACACACTTCGTGCTCTTCGACCTCCCAGAACTCCATTCCCGGGCCACATTTTGGATGCCCGGAGCCAACTGTAGGCCACTTCGTGCTCTTCGACTTCCCAGAACTCCATTCCCGGGCCACATTTTGGATGCCCGGAGCCAACTGTAGGCCACTTCGTGCTCTTCGACTTCCCAGAACTCCATTCCGGGCCACATTTTGGATGCCCGGAGCCAACTGTAGGCCACTTCGTGCTCTTGTTTTCCCAGAACTCCATTCCCGGGCCACATTTTGGATGCCCGGAGCCAACTGTAGGCCACTTCGTGCTCTTCCACTTCCCAGAACTCCACTCCCGGGCCACATTTTGAATGCCCGGAGCCAACTGTACGCCACTTCGTGCTCTTCCACTTCCCAGACTTCCAAGACTCATCATCTTCATCATCATCATCGTCCCCGCAGCCTTCTTGGCTACAGCCCTGCTTTCGAAGATTTCCTTTCAAAGGAACTGCGCAGCGCCTACTGCACACCTTAATGTTGCCACTGCGACTGCCACTGCGAATCCGAATGCGACTGCGAGAACACCAGAATTCTACAACAGCACTCTTACATGAATACCACAGGCAATGTTTCCAGCTATGCTTCTACACATCGCTGTTAGGTTGCTTAGCCGGGATAATTTTGATTTTCTAGCTACAAGCGCCTATAGACACACTGGGTGTCATTACCTGTATAGACACATGTGAGTGGATATGTTTATAAAGGAAGCGGCCGTTCCGTTCGGCGCACTTCAAGGTCAGAAAGAGAGAGAGAGAGAGAGTGGGTCCGTATGTGATATGTTCGTGCTGTGGAGCAAGTCCCACGTGGTACTCCAACTCCTGCCCCCGCCGCGCCCGAGACGAGAATCGAATTGGAACACTGAACCTGCATGATCATAGGCTGTTGGCGTTCCGCGCGCGAACCTCTTGGGTCGGCGCCAGAGCCTCCTCGGAGGCACTTGGCCCAGGCAGGCAGACGGGCAGCTTCAATTTCGGGCGCACCTTGGCGGGCCCCTGCTCTAGAACACGTCCCAGGTGGGCGACACCAAAAGACGGGGTCGTCGTCACCGACATCGGCGCGTAAGCTGCCCGCGTAAGGCCGCGCGTAGGCGCCCTCGCGTCCGATGGGGCGTGCTGCGCCGGCTGCCCGCGTCAGCCACCGCGTGAGGTCGCTATGCCATCTCGCGCAAGACCCGTTTTCGATCGTCGCTCAGATTCAAGGGGGAAAGACCACCCGGACCCGATACTTGGCGTTTGCTAAACGGCCCTGGGCGTTTACTAAACAGTTTTTCGGAGGTGGATAGACCTCCTACCCTGACACGTCGATTGAGGAATTTACCGTTCTCGGTTCGCGAGAGGGCGTCGCGGCTGTCATTTTTGCGGGTCCAGGTCCGTCGTTTTTGGTCCCAGGCCGTTTTTACTAAGGGGAGGTTTACTAAAGCGAGGTGTGTCCACCGCCGAGTTTGCCTTGTGCGATTCCTTCTTTGGGTGCGTTGACGGAACAGCGTCGCGTGTCGGGGTGATTCTTCAGGGCGAAGAGAACTATGCACATGCACCGATCCTGGCAAGGCCCATCCTTGACCCAGAATCGGTGTGTGTGCACAGTTCTTTTCCCTCCACTCTTATGAGGGTGGATTGTCTGCTCGCTACTGGTGGTGTCCCAGTCCCCCCCCCCCGGGCTCGTCGCCGCCGAATCTGCTCAAACCCCATCTGGGCGGCGGTCGGCCCCTGCTCCAGGGCGGGCACGCGGGAGGCTGCAAGCCCCGCCACCACCACCACCACCACCACCTCCACTCCACCACACCACCCAGGTGACACCGCCAACGCTCCTACGCGAACCGGTGCCACCTCCCCAGGGCTAATCTCGGTTTCTCCGATGCGGATCGAGTCGACCTCGACGGATTCCGAGTCCGATCCGATCTGATCTCGGCCTCCGATTCGGGATCCGATTTCTCAACGGAGGCCTGCTAGCCTTCATGTCGATCGCCGATCCGACGTTTCGATGCGAGTCTGGGCTCTCCTGCCTCCCCCCCCCCCCCCCCGGAGCCCCGAGGAGCACCTCTCCCAGCTCGCCCGCGCCCTGGCCTTGTCTGGGCAGGTCTGCAGGCCCCGGGCCGGGCGAGAGGAAGGGGCGGCGGGGGGAGCGCCAGGCGTGCTCCACGCCGTAGAAGATGCAACCCTCCTCCTCCTCCTCCTCCCCCCTCTCCTCCTCCTCCTTCTCCTCCTCTTCCTCCTCCTCCTCCTCCTCCTCCTCCTTCTCCTCCTCCTCCTCCTCCTCCTCATTCTCCTCTTCCTCCTCCTCCTCCTCCTCCTCCTTCTCCTCCTCCTCCTCCTCCTCTCTCTTCCTCTTCACCCCCTCCCCCTCCTCCTCCTCCTCCTCCTCCTCCTCCTCCTCCTCCTCCTCATCCTCCTATCCTCATCCTCCCTCTCCCCCTCTTCCTCCTCCTTCTCCTTCTCTTCCTCCTCCCTCTCCCCCTTCTCCCCCTCCCCTTCCCCCCCCCTGCTCCTCCCCCTCCCCGTCCCCGAGGGTTTTGGGAATGTTCGGGCCCCGGGGGCCCTGCTGGGCCACGGGGCTCCTCAAGAACCGGCTCGCGATGGAAAACCCGGCCCGGGGGGGTCGGGGGTCGGGACTCCCAGGCACCGCGCATGAAGAAATCGGGACGTGAGCGAAGCAGCAAAAACGGGTTCGACGGGCTCGACTGCGCCGATGTGACACTGGCGCATGAGCTGTTCGCGTCACGTCGCGCGCAAGCGCCCTCGTGTCCACTCCAGCGTGCCGCGCTGGCGGCCCGCGCGAGGCACCGCGCAAGGTCGCTACACCATCTCGCGCAAGACCCGTTTTTGCTAGTCGCTCACGTGCCATGTCTGGGGCGGGGAAGGGGGGGGCAGCTGCCGCGTGCGGCGGGCTCCTGCTCCCGATCCGCTGGGCGCGGTCCGCGGTGCACTGGCGCCGGGAGGCGCCGGGAAATCAGCGATACGTAGGCTATAAGTCGGGTGTTGCTAGAAGTGCCCCTGACCCACAGTGCCCCCAGAATTCTCGAGGCTGGGGTGTTCTGAGAGTCCCCTCGGCCGCAGAGGCCGCATCAAAATGACACCTCAGATGGCCAACAAAAACGTTTGATTTGCTTTGCACCGATGGATATGCATATAATGCGGCTTTGCATGCACGTCCACACGTACATGCATGCATAATCGCAAGCATGCGCACACGCATGCTACTGACGGGGAAGGGGGCCTCCTCGCCCCCTTCTCCTCGCCACCCGCCCCCTTACCCATGCATCCATCCTGCTCTTCCCGCTGCTGCTCCTCGTCCGATTCACCGTCTTCCTCTTCTCTTGCCGCTACATCTGCTTATCATCCTCATCCGTTCCTCCTCCTCGTCCGTTCCTTCGGCCCTCTACCCCTCCTCCACCTCCAACCACCGTGCCCCCTTTCTCTCCCTCCTCTTCCGTTTTCCCCGCATCACCAGTTGTATCCCTTTCCTCCTCAGCCTTGTTCTCTCCTCCTCCTCCTCCTCCACCTTCCGTCTCCCCATGCGCTTCCTCGTCCTTCCCAGCCCCGCCCCTCCTCGGCGTCGTCATCGTCCTTTTCAACATTATGATATATGTCGTTCTCTCTTTCTGTCTCTCTCTCTCTCTCTCTCTCTCTCTCCCCCCATTAATTGGTTTCCCTTGTTGCCTTGTCATGCCTTTTTCCGCGACCCGGCGTTCCAAGACGGCCCACGAGGTCCCCAAGCCCCCTACCCCCCCTCTCATGTGGACAGTAGCTATAGTTTGATATACCGATGTGGTTTGTTTTGTGGAGTTGATTTCGGATTGTATTTCGTGGTTTGGGTCATGGCTTACAGAATTATGGTTCGATGGGAACTACATGACGTGTTGGATGTGGCGGTCGCGGTGGTAGAAGCGGAGGCCCCAGCATCACCGACACGCCCATTGCCCAGTGGCGATGTAAAGGTATTGGCGGTGGTGGTGATGGTGGATTTGTTGGTGGTGATAGCAGCAATAAAAGGATGATCCACAATGTGCTGATGGGGGGTCGCATTCACAATCGTCGCAACCAACTGCGCCGCCCCCAGTGAGCTTGAAAGGGTGCGGGGGGGTCGGCGGGGTAGTACCTAAGGTGGTGGTTGACCACGCTGAACCTCGCGTGACCACCTCCCACGCTCGTGCAAACATCCCACCCTTCCACCCGCATCTTGGTCGGCAAGGCTCATAAGGTCGCGACTGCAGTTGCCGCGTGGAGCTCGTCCGCACATTTCATCGAGCTCACTAGCACACGGACCCTCGCGGCGCGGGCAAAGTCCATCATGCGGAAGACAGCGCGGACGACAGCGTCGACAGACGACGATGAGGTGGCTGGCAGAACTCATAAGGTCGCGAGTACACTTACAACGCGGAGCTCCCCCAGTAATTTCATCGCGTTCATTGGCGCGCGGACGCTCGTCGCCCGGGCAAAGTCCATCCCGCGGGAGACAGCGCGGACGGCGGCATCGACAAACGACGACGACAATGATCACGACGCTTGCGAGGGCAATGATGAGAACGACGGCGCCCCGCATGGCACTGACAGGGAGCATGCCTCTGGCAAGCGCGCGAGGGCATCGGAATAAGTTCGACATGCGTGCGCAAAGGCCCCCATTGGACAGGAAACTGGGGGGGGGGAATTGGGTTCCCCGGGAATCCGCAAGAGCGCGCGGGATGACATGTAGAAAACTTGTTTTTTTGTTTAAATTCACTGGGCGTTTGATGTTTTGCACGATGCAACCGCAACGGAAACAAAGGTGTGGAAGGATTTCGTCTTGCGCGCGCACGCGGCACGAACTAATATTATTGCACAGGGGTTTGTGCGCTCAGCTCATGTTAGATCAACGCACGCGCACCGCATGGTATTATGTGACAGGGATGAGGGGGGGGGGGGGGGGGGCGATGCCGGGACTAGCTGGGGCGGCATGAAGTCATGTGGAACATGAACATGGAGGCGTCACCATATGTAGATTGCAGTACCCCAGGGGGGAGTGGCAATCCCGGGGTGGTGGGGGGGGTAGAATCGAATTTTTGTTGACCACGCTGCGTCGCGCGCGACCCCGCCCCCACCCCACGCTCGCGCAAGCATCCCGCCCTTCCGCCCGCATCTTGGCCGGCAAGGCTCGTAAGGTCGCGACTGCAGCTGCAGCGTGGAGCTCGTCCGTAAATGTCATCGAGCTCACTGGCGCGTGGACCCACGCGGCGCGGGCAAAGTCCATCACGCGGAAGACAGCGCGGTCGACAGCGTCGACAGACGACGAGGTGGTTGGCAGAACTCATAAGCTCGCGAGTACAGCTACACCGTGGAGCTCCTCCACTACTTTCATATCGGCCATTGGCGCGCGGACGCTCGTCGCCCGGGCAAAGTCCATCTTGCGGGAGACAGCGCGGACGACGGCGCCGACGAACGACGACGAGAACGATCGCGACGCTTCCGACGGCAATGACGACGATGGCGGCGCCCCGCGCGGTAGCATTTGACAGGGGCCACGCCTCTGGCAAGCGCGCGAGGGCATTGGAATAAGCTCGGCACGCGCGCTTGAAGGCCCCCTTGGACAGGAAAGTTGAAACAGGCATGGGGTTTCCTAGGAAACACAAGAGCGCGCGGGATGATATGTGGAAAACTTGTCGTTGAAAAACCGTTGCGTGTTTGATGTTTTGCACGCTGGAGCCACAACGGGGCGCAGGGAGGATCTCGTCTTGCGCGCGCGCACGCGGCGCGAATTGGTTTGATTTCACAGGGCACCGCGCGCTCAGCTCAACTTAGATCAACGCGCGCGCGCCGCATTGAACTATTCGACATCGATGAAGGGGGCGGCCCAGTACCGGGGCCAACCTGGGGCGGCGCGAATTCATTTGGGACACGAACAAGGAGGCATAATCAGATGCAAACTGCGGCACCCCAGGGGGCCGCGGCAATCCCGGGGGGGGGCGGGGCAGTATGCATTTGTTTGTGCACGTTTATGCACGCGCGTATACTTACATATATGTGCACATATATACATATTAATATATCATTTAGCGGGGTTTGGCGGATGCGGCGGCAGTGGCAGTTGGGGGTCGCTTCCAGCGCCACCGCGACCATCGCTTGCCAAGGGCAGCGCTGGCCGCTGGATTGGGGAGGGCGGGGGGGGCACTGGCGGTGGCGGGAGCGGCGGCGGCGGCACATGCAACAGCAGCGGACGCATTGGCAGACGCCGGCGGCGCGATGGCGGCGATTGGAGGGGCGACGCTTCGACCGCCGCCGCAGCCGCCACTGCCGCCCCCCACGCGCGCAGAGTTCGGCGACGCGGCGCAGGCGATGTCGGCGGCGGCGGCGGCGGAACCAGCCGCGCATGCACTAGTGCACTTGGCGGCGGCGGCGGCGCTGGGAGCGCCGCCGCCGCCGCGACCGTAGCCCTCGCCACCGCCGCCACCCCCGTGTCGCAGAACAGGCGGTGGCGGCGGGAGCGGGGCAGCGACAATGGCGAGGCGGCTGCGGCGATGGAGGCGACGGCGGCGGCGGGCAGCTGCACCGTCAGCACAGGCGCTCGTGGATTTGAGCGCTGGCGTTGGCAGGATGGCGTCGCACCCACCATCGCACCCAGCGCTGCGGCCGCCATCCTCGGCGAAGAAAGGGGCGCGGCGGCCGGGCAGGACGGCGGCGGCGGTTGGCGCAGTCGCGGCGGCGGTTGCAATTTTAGAAGTTGTCGCAACCGCACAGTTTTATCATCACATCCCCCGATCTTTCTCTTTCCGCAGGCCATCCACTTCCCTCGATGGAGGTGCCGGCGGCAGTGGGATGGGGATCGCATCCACCACCGCCGCAACTACAGCCGCCACCCCACTTATTCAGAAAAGGGCATTGACGGTGGTGGCGAGGTTCGGATGCGCGGCTGCGGCAGCGCAGGCAATTCTCGACGCTTCGCGCATCCCCGCCAGCTTCAAGCAGGCCAAGTCTAAAGGCAAAGGAAAGGGCAAGGACAAGACAACACACAGCAGCGGGCCCCCTACGAATCCTCCCGCGGCTGCTCATAACACCAAGGCCTGCGCCAGCGCGTTCGACCAGCGGGACCCCCCCCTCACAGGCATCTCCCTGAG